AAGAAAAGACCAAGTGGTTGTAACCGACTACCGTATGAAGATTGCAAGGTTATCAACAGTGTACAAGATTCGACATACTAAGCTTCTATTAAAGACATGAGCGAATCTTTGAGTAAGGAATTCTGGGTTATCTCAAGACGTTGACTTGGTAAAGACTTCAGTTTACGAAAAGTTCTACCGTTTGCGTTTAACTTAAGGTTGCAGTTGACCTCTACAATTCAACCAGCTTTTGATGACCAACGGGAAAGAATCATACAGAACAAGAAGGCAAGTTGGAAACTTGCGTTACAGATTTACAAAAGCTGTGGTTTGTGCTCAAATGATGGATCAAGTTTCCCTTTTTGTGAGGGTTATCGTCAAGCATTCAAAAGACACCTTACAAGATTTTGTGAGATTTAGAGTGCCAACGGTCTCGATGCAAAGGAAGGTATAAAGAATACGCAGGTGCTTAGACCTTGATGATCTCCAAGTACATTAAGAAAGGAAGTTTGGTTTGTAAATCACTGAAGTCTTGAGATGGCAAGATCAGATAACCGGGTGCGCTTAAAGAAAGAGGAAAGCGATGGTCAGTGTTCGATCGATCTTGAGTTTGCTAGAACGGACAACAAGCCGAACCTCTAAGGAGATTAAGGAAGTTTGCCAAGAGTTTTCGCCTCCGACGCTATGATGAAGACCGATAAGAGAAGCAAGTCAACTCACAGTCGCTTGGTCCGTGTGAGTTTCGCTCGGCTGTAACGAGCTGAAGAAGAAACCAGTGTTTAGATAAGAGTTTGGGGCGAAGATTTTTGTGATCTCAGTTTACGAAGTGGGTCCGATAAAGATCTTAGCGTTAGAACGCGTCAGAATCAGAGTAACGCACCCTCAGTTTGTTAAAAGTGCAGTGATCGAAGCGTCAAGTCGAAGAAGTCGCCTAATGTCTAGAACCGTTAACCCTCTTTAAGCCATTTTTCTCTCCTCTTCTTGTCAAACCAAATGTCTTTTTCCGAGAAATCCTTCCTATCTCTTCGAATCTCGTTCTTGATTCCTTCTTAATTGATTCTGTACAGGGTGACAACCTCGTTTTCCTAAGTTGTAACCTTGAAAATCTTGATTTCCTTTCTAATCTACGTTACCCTTAAGCCTAAATCTCGAACCCTTTCGTTAGGAAGCAATTTCAATTCTTTCAAACCTTGTTCTTGATCCTTCACTTCAAACAATTCTGTGCAAGGTGGCAACCTTATTTCCTAAGTTGCAACTTTGATCCTAATCCTAATTAACGTCGTCCTCAAGTTTGGAACCTAAACTCTCATCCTCTCTTCCTTTCCAACCATCGGAACGGCGGGTAGGCGTCCACCCGCTGCCCCACCCGCGGTGTACAGGTGGCTTGTGGGTGTGGTGCCCGCGGGCGGAACCACGGGTGGGGGTCCACCCGTGGGCCCACCTGCGGGGTACAATGTTGGCATTGGCGAGGATTTGTTCCCGTGATTCTTTTGACTCGGTATTTGGTCTTTTGACTTCCCGATGTTCTTTTGTGGAACTATTTGAGTGTCTTCTTGATGTTTCGTATGTCTAGAACTATATGGTAGGATTCCATGTAGGTTTTGGTGTCTTGAATCATGCTAAGTGTTCAACGTTGTGATTCGTTGAACCGTGACGAGTCTTGTGTGTTCTTTGGAACTATGTTTGGTTTACCCGTTTGACAAGCATGTTAGTTCGGTGTTTAAATGCTAGCGTGTGTGTTGTTTGTCCTTTCCTGTTGGTTGATGATGACTTGTGTTAATCATCGTTGTTGTTGGACTGTGATCTATTCCTTGATTGAGTATGGTTTCATATCTTCGTTGTAATCCGTTGATTGATTCCTGTTGTGGTGTGGTGTGTGTGGCTATACCTGGATTGCACGATTAATGGTATGTGACATTAGTCACCAAGGTACGGCAGTGGTCCTCATGGTGGCCATGACGCGATTATTGAGTTTGTGACCTGAGTGATGGGTTCTCGTATTTTCTTGGGTGGCATGTGTTGTCGTATGTATGATCGGTACCCTCGTGTACTATGAAATCGGTGGTCTTGTTGGTGGTTGTTGGTGGGGGACGACGGTCCCAGGAGGGAAAATGTTGGACTTGGATGTACAGGGGTCCTGGAGGTAATGGTTGGAACTAGACATAAGGTTGGCGGTAGCCATAAAGTTGGAACCTGGCATAAGGAAGGCATATCAATTCGTGATGGGTGATGTCACGAAGGCTTATGTAGCCGTTGTTGTGTATTTCTCTATTTTGTGACGTGTGATGTCACAAAGGCATGTGTTGCCAATGGTTGTGTCCTTATCCTCTTGTGTTATGCATGTCGGGTGTTAATCTACTGTGTGATGGTAGATTATACCTTGAGCCGTCCTTGTGAGTCGTTATTGCTTCTTGGTGTCTTGGGATGTGTTCCCTTATCTTTTGTGAGTGCATAGAGTCTTGTGTTGATCTCTATCTTGGCTTTTGAAATTGATATATACTATATCCCGTTTCGCAAATGATTTTGTATATATATAAACTATCTACATATGATATTTCACATGTATTGGTGGGTTACCAGCATCATTCGCTGACCGGGCGTCGTCCCATTTGTATTTGTTGCTTTACAGGTTGGGTAGCTTTGGAGAGTGCGCTAGTGGCCTGTAGATAGATTGATCTCTTCCTTTAATAATTGTTGAGGCCTGTGAGCCTAAGTAGTTGTTTTGTTAGACTGCTGTAGTTGTGGTATATGCCAGTGCACCTATGTTTGTTATAGGTGTGGCATAGCACCTTCCGGTTTGTTTAGCAAGCTTCCGCCTTGTTTAATCTTAATGAGTAGACTTTATCCCTTTTCTAAGTTTTAATTGGATTTAAAAGTTGTTGAAAATCGGGGGTGTTTCACTCGCCATATCTACTCAGGACCTGTTAAGCACATAAAGAAAGGGGACGACGCCTGGTCAGCGAATATTGCTGGTAACCCATCAATACGTGTTCAATAACATATATAGATAGTATACAAAAAATCGTTTTCGAAACGGAATACAGTATATATCAGTTCAAAACCGTAAAGAGAGAAGTCAACTGTAAAGACTCTATTTCACTCTCAAAAGAACAAGGAAAATCAACATCCCATGACAACATCCAGACCAGAACAACAACGGTACAACTCAACACAGCACAAGATATAATCTACTCATCACAAAGTAGAAAACATCAAGGCAAAGACAACCACAACACAAGTACAACTCGAGGTGTATTCTACTGATCACAAAGTAGGATACCACTCGACATGCTCATCAGAAAAGGATAGACAATCACACATTGGCACTACATGCCACCGTGACACTTCATGTCACAAGTTCCAACCTTATGCCCTGTTCCAACCTTATGCCTACCTCCGGCCTTATTACAGTTCCAACCATTACCTCCGAGAACCCATGTACTTCTGAGTCCAACCTTATGCCTCCGGGAACCGTCGTTCCCAAGCCAACATATAGTACACGAGGGTACCGTTCATTTCAATCACACAACCGCCAACAAGTGAGCCTGAAGCCCATGAGCCTGAAGCCCATAATACAACTCCATAATATCATTTCGAGGCCACCACGAGGACCACATCTGTACCTTGGTGATTAATGTCCCATACCACTAATCATGCAATCTAGGTACAACCAACACACCCATCATCATAGGAATCAATCAATGGATTACAACAAAGATATGAAACCATACTCAATCAAGGAAGGACTACAATTCGACACCAACGATGATCAACGCAAGTTATCATCCATAATAGGAAAGAAAAAACCACACACGCTAGCATTTCAACATCAAACTAGCATGCTTATCAAACGGGTAAACCAAACATAGTTCTGAAGAACATACAAGACTCATCATGGTTCAACGAATCACAAGGTTGAACACTTAGCACGATTCAAGACACCAAATCCGACATGGATTCCTAACATACCGTTCTAGACATATGAAACATCAAGAAGACGCTCAAATAGTCTAACAAAAGAACATCGAGAAGTCAAAACATCAATTACCGAGTCAAAAGGATCACGGGGAACAAATCCCCAACAGCCAACATCATGTACCCCGCGGGAACCATCCTCCCAAGGGCTTGTACCCTGCGGGTGGGGCGGCGAATGGTGCACTACCCGCCGTTCCGCCCGCGGGTACAACCTGTACCACAATTAATCCCTTCGGGGATTTTCAACACCAAGTCCAAATTCAAGTCCAAAACACCCAAAATCTCACAAAATACAAAAATATGACTTGAATCCAAGAAATAGCTAAGCAATGGCATACAAGAATCCTAATAACAAGCTCTAGATATGCATTTTCACAAGACAATGCATCCAATCTCACATTTCATAGCAAAATCACAAGTAGAAGTCATGAAATCATCATATAGGTAAGAAAATAGATTTTGTAAAGCATGGGTTACCTCTTGTAGCCTAAACCTTCACTTATCACACCTTTACAAGCTTCTAACAAGGCTCTCCTTCAACTTCTACTTCACAAACACACCAAAAGACCACAAAGATTCCATCTTTAGAAAAAGACACCTTAAAAGGTACTAAAAACACTAAAGGACCAAGGATCTTACCCTCCTATATGCTCAAGCTTAAGAAAGTTTGAATCTTGGAGACCATCTTGAAGAATCTTGAATTGCCCAAACTTGGCTTGAAGAAGAAGCTAGCTATTTTCTAGAGAGAATGAGGAGCTTTTCTTTTTAGGGTGTTAGAGAAAAGAAATGAAAGATGACTCTAGGTTAGCTTGGGATACAAACATAAGGTGAAAAGTCTTCTTTACCCTTACTAAAGTGGAAAAGTGTAAGGAGACAAGGGAACAATTCTCAAAGCATAAAGTACAACCCATTGACTTGGATTGACTAGTCAATTTTTAGTCCCCGACTATTGAATTTTCAGGATTTTAGGAATAAATTACCAATTAAGCTAGGATTAATTATCTAATTAATCCTTAAATAGAATTTGGATTTACGGGGTGTCACAGTTTATGTCTTCGTGCTCACATTCTCTTCTCCTTGAACTTTGATCCTTCCAAAAAAAAAAAAAAAAAAAAAAAATCTTCCAACCAATTCCATCTTGGACATGTAAATAAGAAACAAAAAAAAAAAACATAAATTCAAAGAAGATGGAAAAACATAAATTCGAAAAAAAAAACTATGGGAAAATCGAACCAAAAAAAAAAAAAAAAAGCGAACATAAATTGTGGGAATTTATGTTTTTTTTTTTTTCCATAAATGAAGAAAAAAAAACTACAGAAATGAAGAAAAAATTAAGAAACAAAAATTACAGAACATCAAGAAACATAAATCCTAACTATAATAAAGCCAAATAAATTTTGGTGTAAATTCCCGCCCAAAGTTATGGAGCTTTTGTTCCTTTTTGATTTTTTTTATTAAAAATTATTATCTTTAAAAAATATTTGATTTGATTTGATTAGACATTGCGTGTAGCTTTTCTTGCTCATATATTGCTTTAGTCTGACAAAAATATTTAACTGATAACAATATACAGTGGTTGAGAGGTACAACAGAACCAAATTTACGTACAACAGAAGCAAGCAAGCATGGTGTTCAAGAAGTACATAATTTTGAAACTAAATATTGGAGGGGAACTACTTATAAATAGTCCATATTGCATACATGGTCAAACCCCACATTTGCAATGTTGCTGCTCTATCTCATGAAGCTGTTCAAGAAACAAAGGTGATATTTCTCTTTCTATCATTTTAAACCCTGCTCTATCTAAGGAAGAATTGAATTAATTTTATAGGTTTTACTGTATGAACTTCCTCCATTTTTAATATTATGGAGTGAGATTTTGATGAAGTTTGTTTCTGTTTCTCCTTTGTTTTGGGGAGAAGGACTGATAGAGGCAAAGCTTAGTATAGACACATGCATTGCAAACTGTTAGAAACCATTTTTAGGGGTTTCAACAGCATACCATGCAACCTGTTTCAATGCCAACTGTTAGAAATCCTTTTTATGGGGTTTGATCAGCATACCAAGTAACCTGTTTCTCAATGCCATTGGTACCTGAAATCATCAAGAGTAAAGTATGATCATAATAGTAGAAAATTCAAACCCAAGTGAGTTTCTAAGTTCACTTTTAGAAAAATTCAAAACCAAGCATGCAACTTTCTCAGTTCACTTACACTGATGAGGTAAGGTTCTTAACTTAATATAATTCTAAACTATAATCATTTGTAATTTTCTTAACTGGAAAATAATCTCTAAGTTTGAACATTGTTGCAGGGATTCTTCAATGAGGATGATGACGAGGCTGAAAGTCCTGTTACTGCTTTGAAGCCAGTGAAAGAATTGAGTGGTGATGGAAGTGGTTCAGTCAAAAGGCGTCTCCTGGATGAATTATCATCCACACAAAGCTCAAAAAAAAAGTAAATAAGTGACTGTGAATTTGGAAAAAGTAACATGTGACCTAGAGTAGTTTGGTTTTTGAAAAAAATGTTTTGGTTCTGTTGGGATGTGAAACAATATTCGGAACTGTCTTTTGCCCTGTTTGACATCTGAATCATTATTTTGGACTGTGGTTTTTGGCCTAAGTGCCAATTATGTCTAAGTTTGAACTATTGGTTTCTATGGGACAGTTTTATATTATCTATCTTGCAGTTTTCTTGATTTTTTCCTCAAGTACAGTCTCAAGAAAGATGGTGAGGCAATGGATTAAACAAAGATTCAAGAAACATGCTAAAAAGAAATCATGTGTACAGATTCTACATAGGATTACTATGTAGAGACAATATGTAACTACTGCTAATTAATTTCTCTTGACAATCTAGATAAAGAAATTATTCAATAAGAGTATTGTACTTTTTTGGTAGATTTAAGGACATTCTCATAGTTTAATGAAATCAGTTTGGGACACCTTCAACTCTACTTAAGTTGTGAAATGAGTTGAATCCTGCAAATTTGGAAAATAATTTCATTAAGTCAAACTGATATTACAATAAAGAAACTATTAAAAATTAAAATGATAATAACTACTTAGTCAAAATAATACTTGCCTAAGAGAAAACACTTTCTAATTATCTTCGATTATTGAGATGAGTTTAAACCTACAAAATTGGTAATTAATTAGATGAAGTACGTACAAACTATATTAACACTATCTTGCAAGTAGATCTTATAACTTACAACTATTGAATTCAAAACAGCATAGTACATTCTATTAAGTTATTTGCCTTCACCGTTGTCCACTCCACTTGCAACATATATCCACCACTAGCAGAAAAAACAGCCAACCTGTATGATAAAATCCAAAATCAAGTAACTACACTATAGTATGATACTTAAATTGAATGCAACACATGCTGCTTTGCAAATTTTCATTTGAGTTAAGAACATCTTTAAAAAATTGCATAACCTACTGTCTACGATGTTAACTAACAAAGTGAGAGATTTTAACTCATAAAACTTATTCATTTTTTGGCGTGTGTTATGCGTTGACATAACACACACCTGAAGCATGGCAAATAATATATAATATAAGTTTACTATGTGTAATCATATAAGTTTAAAACAGTAGCACCTTAAGTAAACGAACCATATTATAAAAATTGATTAAGTAGAACTATGATATACTCTCCATTGGACAAGGTCATAGTTGGGACAAGGCTTATAGAATTCCTCATTGAGGATGCTAAGATTTTTTTTTTTTTTTTTTTTGTTCAATGTTTTGAACAACTGGAAAAAAAAAATTGGTTTTTACTTACAGGTTACTTTTAAATGTTTGTTCAATAGTGTCAGTCAACTCTTCTAATGATCTAACTTCGTCCACCCTCCCCCATTTTTCAAAATTCCAATAAATATTGGACAACATAACATAAGTACCTGACATTTTCTGAATAGACTAAAAACAAGTTTAAAAAAAAAATTAAAACCTAATACAACTTATTTTCATTCTTTAAGATCCAAAGTATTTGTTGCTATATTACTATTTTTTGCATGTGAAAATTATTGCATGTCTATTATATTTCTAAAATCTAATAGTAGATATTTGTATAAACAAGAACATAAGTAAATAATTGCAAAAACTATAAAACTAGGCTTACCTTACAGATATTGTGCTTGGTGTTGGATCGATGTTGTTACTTGCTTTCTTTCAGGTGAATTTGTTGAATGTTGTTTGGTAGACCGAAAATCGTTGATAATCGAGATTAGGGTTTTGGGTTTGTGTAATCTGTCAGGGTTTTGAATTTGAGATGAACTTTTGAGAACGAATTCTCATCTGATAGAGAGAAAAGATAGATCTGCGAACGGAGGAAACAATGTTAGGGTTTATTCAGATGTAATCGGTCATAATTGTGGACTGATTATAGGGGAGAACAAATTGATTAAGATAAGAAAATGGCGAGAGAACCAGATGGAGAAAGAAGAAAAGTGATAAAGTGATATCTGAAATGTGTGTGCTGTGAGCCTGTGAAGTTTCCAGAATGGGTGGATGAAGTATGAGGAGAGAACAGAGAGCCTAGAATTTAGGGTTCGTGCAAGAGTGTGTATGTATTTTACAAATTACGGTATTTTCTATGTAATTTGGGCTATTATTATTTCTTTGGGTTGTGGTTATTTATTAGGGCTTGGGCTTTGAATATGTATTGCTAACACAAATGGGCCGTTTGTAAATCTCACACACACACACACACACACACACACACACACACAACACACACACCACACACACACACACACACACACACACACACACACACACACACACACACACACACACACACACACACACACACACACACACACACACACACACACACACACACACACACATATATATATATATATATATATATATATATATATATATATATATATTTAAATTGGTTTGGAATGGAATTATTTTTTCAGATATTTTTGTCGTCATATATATAAGATATATAATTGTATTTTAAATGGAATTAATGTAGGTACAAAGGTTTTGATTCCACGATTGTCGCTTACACCGTCAGATACTAAGTTGCCCAAAGGAAATTCCTGTTAATATTGTCTTATGCTATGACAATAAACAAGAGCAATGGCTAAACACTTTCTACAGTAGTCCTACTATGTTGAAAAAAACGATCTTAGTTCATGGATGTGTTGCTCTGTCCAGAGTTAACAATCCAAGAGGTCTTAAGTTATTGATTTGCAACGACAATAGAGAATATGTTTCTTCAACGTCGAATGTTGTATATAAAAAAGTGTTTAATAATCTATAACATTTTTATACTATTATTTCTTTGTTATAAAATATTATTTTTTATGTTATCAATAAATATTTTGTTCTTTTATATATATATATATATATATATATATATATATATATATATATATATATATATATTAAAAACTATTATTTCTTAATAACATCTCATATTACAATATTAACTTAAAAACATTTATAGACCGTGCATCGCACGGGTGACATGCTAGTTACTGAAAAATCAAGATACAAAAATGAAGAAAATTATGGAAAATCGGACTGCAATTAGGCTTACGAACAATGGAAAAATTGAAAAAACAAATAAAATTGAAATGTAAATTTGCCCAATTCCTACCTTCCATCTTTGACACCCAAAGAATTTTTTGCCAAGTCTCTAGTTGTGCAAATCGGACCTTTCAAACCATAATTACAAATATACTAGGCTCGTACTCTATATTTTCTCTCACTCGTGAAGAATTCGAAGAAGATGACATCTCCAATAATCTTGTGTTGATGTAGCTATCTAGCCTGGATACGGTTGACTGGCAATAAGAGGGTAGAAGAAGTAGTCTGAGTCAAATATTTAGGGTTTTGGTTGTTCATAAGCCTAATTGCAGTAATTTATGGGAAACTGACACAATATACGTTATTTATAATGAGTGTATTGTTGATAAGCTATATTTATTAATGTAATACTTTCTCACTTTCAAAAAGCATGATCTACTTATAATATTATTATATCAATGTATTATTATATTTACAATTCACTCACTATTTTCTTTAAATTCTTACCATTTCACTTTCAATAATAATAATAATAATAATAATAATAATAATAATAACAACAACAACAACAACAACAACAACAACAACAACAACAACAACAACAACAACAACAACAACAACAACAACAATAATAATAATAATAATAATAATAATAATAATAATAATAATAGTTGGGGGTCCCATGACTATTGTGATTTACTTAGCTCATTTGTTTAATTTTTTGCTCGATTTAGTCTCCGAATTGAACTACTAAAATGTTACCTTGTTAGGTCCTCTGTTAGATTTTCTGTTAATTGTCTGTCAAAGGTATGGACACAGTCGTCTTTTCAAGCTTTAGGGCATTGTATCAATTATGTTCATGTCAAAATAAAAGTCAAAATCCCCAAATTCATAGTCATTGGCGTCATTTTCCATATGAACGAAGGATATTCACCGTAATATGAATGAAGAACATGTCCACCTGGTCAGCTCTCCGATGATCAACATCGCCTCTCCACGTTCCCACACTCCCAACTCTGCCGATTCTTCACATCACCGCTAGCACTGTAACACCCCGTGTTACGATCCCTAAAACCAATTAATCATTTAACCAAATTACCCAAAAGAAAGAATTAAATCACAATAATTAATTAGGAAAGGCCCACCATAGTCCACGGGCCCTTATCCCTAAACCCAATCCTTAGTCCCAAAAGGAATAGAGTTAGCAAACCTATAGTAATTAGGCCTAAGTAAGACTCTTAGATATATAAATAGGGAACATAAGGAGGCACCTAGAATCCCCACCACAATAAACGACTCACCACCCCAAAGAGCACCAAGAATTCCCTTAAAAGAAATCAAGAAAGCAAGAAAGCTTAAAGAAAGACCCTTCATAGCCAAGGAATTAATTAAGGCTAAGAGGTAACCCATGTCTCAACAAAACCTATTTTCATAGCTATGATTCCCCTCTTAGGATTTCCCCATATTATTGTGTATTGATGAATTGTGATATTGTTATTGATGATTGGTGGAATGATTCCATGGGTAATCTTGATGATGAAAGATTCTTGATGATTATGGTGTTCTTGATGATTATATGACGTTCTTGATGATTATATGATGTTTTGATGATCGTAGGATGTTCTCAATGTTTATGTGATATTCTTACCGAATCTTGATATTAGAAGATGAATTGTGTCCTTGTTGATTTAAAAATGGTTAGAACCCTAGGTTGTATCGTATGGAATTATTCTTGGCATATTGGGTGGGAATTCGCATGATTGGGTGTTGATTATGTTTAGAAAAGCATAATAGGTTATGTGCCATATGTTTCTCGATCTTTGATCCGTTAATTGTCTACGTGTGTTATCAATTGCGTTTGAAAGTGTCTAAGCATGGTTTCGGGTTCCACAAAGGTCCCCGGGGCGTTTTTGGTGAAAAAGAGTCAGTGGGGGGTAGGGGACCCGCCACCTACCCGCGGCCTTCTTGGCCAACGCCGGCAGCGGGCGGCCGGCGGGCGGGCAGCTGCCAGCCGGGCACCCGCTGCCCGGATTAGCTACCGCCGGCGGGCAGCCGGCTGGTGATTCCTCACCCACCGGCTACCCGCTGGTTTGGACCCCAGTTTGGGATTTTGGCTTCCCCATTTGATGTTCCCCCGACCCCCGTAGTGTCCCAACGGACTCCGTCTATCGTGCCTATGTCTAGTTTGATATTTCGGGTACCGTTCGTAGGTTGTATGAGTCTTATATATATTGCATGCTAGTTGAATTGGTATCCCGTTGACCTAGGTGAAAGAAGTATGAACCCCTTAGGATTATTCTTAGTATGTGAAGGATCACGCATAGGTTTTGTTATACGCTTTCTCCCCCTTCCCAATGTGTTAATGTGGGTTGCATGTGCTTGCTATGTGTTATGTGTGCATGATACCCCAATTCGGTTGCGATCGAATTGGTTATTCCTGAGCTGCGGTTCAGAAGCTGGCTGGGGTCAGATTTACACTCCCGGGCTGCGGTCCACTGTTTGGTTGCGATTAAACGTTTCTACATGAGCTACGGTTCATATTTCCTGGCTGCGGTCAGATGACATACTCTTGGGCTGCGGTCCACTGTTTGGTTGCGATCAAACTATGATGAGCTGCGGTTCATCGGTCGGTTGCGATCGACCCCTCCGTGTTGTGATACGGGGCAGGGTGCTGCGGGGCCGTGTCAGAGCTATATGCGCTGACCCTCATGTATGGGCATGCGATTGGTCCTGTGGCGCCAACAAAGTGTGCTATGTGGTAAGATATGGAGGAGTTGTTGTATGAGTGCCTTGGGGATGTGACTATGTGATTCATATTGGGAATCGTATATGTTGGGTTATGATTATTAATTGTGCTTATCTTATCTGCCTTGCCTGTTATAAACTGTATATGCTTGGTGTAACTGCTGTCTGTGCTTAACCCTATCTGTTGAGTTTATCCCTGTTTTAAAAGCTAGAGTTCGTAGGATATATCTTCATGTTCAAAATGGTTTTCGTATATCTATATATATATATCTATATGTATCGTATTTCAACGCGTTGGAGTGGGTTACCAGCATCTCTCGCTGAACAGATATATTTGGCTTTCAGGCACAGAAGAGTAAGTCACTGGAGCGCGCTAGAACTTGGAAGTTTCCCTTTCGGCCTGCGTGCCATGTCTATGCGTTTACATTATTGAGGATATTAGTAGTTAGCCTGTGCACCTGAGTTCTCTAGCTTAGGTGTGGCATAGCACCCCGTACTCTTTGTATCGTATTTTGGGATTTAATGAGATTCTACCTTTATTATATAAGTTTTAAAGGTCTTGAAAATCTGGGGTGTTACAGTTGGTCTCAGAGCCTAAGTTTGACCCTAGGATGAGACTCTTAAGACCAAACTTTAGGGCACTAAGCTTAAACTCTAGGTACTTAGGAACATAAGATTTAGGAATCATAGGACGCGCGGTGAGATTGTGAAACCTACACATAACCCCTTCACTTAATCCCTCTCTGACTTAAAGAAACTCCCTCCTTCACTTATTGCATCAAGGTGAGAATACAAAATAACATCGACCTATGAACACCAGGATGACACCAAAAAGGAGACAGACAGGAACACCGAAACTCCCCACTCAGGAATTCTTGACACAAAATCTACAACGCCTGGCCCAAATTGCCCAGGCACTGAGTACTACCATCCCCCAACCCTTACCAACAAACGAGAACTTGGAAATCCACCACCGAGTCTCGGCGCATCAACCACCCACCTTCTCGGGGATCGAAGACCCCACGGTCCTCGAGGAATGGATCGGAACTTTTGACAAGATATTCCGGACAACCGAATGCCCAGAAGACCACCAAGTCAGAATAGCCTCCTTCTACTTCAGGCACGAGGCCGATGCCTGGTGGGCCCACGAGGGACCCGCATGTGAACAAAACCACGAATTTAACTGGGAAACTCTAAAAACACGACTACGAGAGCAATTCTACCCCAATCATCTAAGAGCCACCGTATATGAAGAGTT